GGGGGGGGCTGCGACAAGGGCCGAACGAGGCGTGGCCGGCCCAAATGCACGGCGCTCGCGGCCTCATGGATCTGCAGCCCGACGCGGGAGAATTGAAGGCGATCAGTGTTAGTTAGAGAGGCAACTTCGCGAGAAGGAGGAAAAAAATCCAGGACTTGGCAAAAGAATTATTGTTCACAATGTTGTTTCCATTTGCACCCGTCGCGCGGCCTCTCACGGCCTTTGACCCCCACCCCCTCCCCTTCCTTCTTCCTCTCTCTACACACTCCCACTCGTCTCCTCTTTTCCCCTCTCCTCTCGCCTCCCGGATCTTTCCGTTTCCTGCAGAGAGGACTTGGCACAAGCGAGCGCCATCCATCAATGGGAAGAAGCAAGCTGCGAGCAAGAAGCGTGGCGTGGAAGTGGAGTTCTAAACTCCGCTCTGCCGCTCCCTTTTACTTTGCATTTCCAGTGAAGCCAGTCGTTGACTCGGCCTACAATTTATCATGGCCATTTTTTTTGCCCCCGTTAGTTTATCCTCGCCCAACTCGAGCGATCCATTCATTTTTCGCAACGCGTTAATCCTCCCTTTCGGACACAATTAGGCATTTCTCAACACGGCGCGAGGGGGGGGGGGATAATCACGGGTGTAAAAGACGTGCAAAAGAGCTCTGTCAGTTTCCCCACTGGCGTCCGTGTCTCTGTCGGACAACAGAGTCAGTACAGAAAGAGCCTTGGTTGCGTCGTTGGCCAGGCGAGGCGGCGAGGCGCGGCGGGCTGTTCAAACAGAACAGAACCCGGGCGGGCGGGCCGAGAGGGCGCGGGCATACCGCCCATGTGTTAGAATCCAGGCCGGCCCGTCCCGCCCTGCCCCCGCCTACCCTCCACTCCCTTCCCCCCGGGTCGCCCCCTCTACCCGGGCTGCGCTACGCCACGCCCTGCGCGATCCTGCAGTCTGCATCCACCGGATGCACCTACTGCCTACTCTCGGTCCTCCTCCCTCTCTCAGAACGACCCACGTGCAAGTCCACAGAGCCTGCCCGACACACCGGCTGCCAGGCCAGCACACAGCACCATGTTTCACTTCCCAATGAGTAGTGAAAAGACATGGACATTGAAAAATAAAATGCAAACCCTTGGAACAAAATTGAATCAGATGAATTACGGCCATCTGAAAGGGATAACTACAACATAAGATCCAGGCAGTGAACTAATACCCACTGAGGAAACTCCAGGTTCATTGACACGCAAACACGAAACTGTAGGGATCTCTCTCCTCCCAGGGCCATCAGCCAGTCAAAGGCCAGACACGAGACACATCTCCCTCAGCCCACCTGGCAGACCGCCAGTAGCAGCATGAATTATCAGACGGGACCCACAAAGCTACGCTGCCAAACCTCTGGTCAGACGTACACCTGAGAAATTGCAGACGAAATAAATCAATGGTGTGGAGGGGGCGTTTGCTTTGACCATTCATAACACGGCTACAGCAGATTGAGAGAGAGACGATAATTAGGAAAAACACTTACGCAAACTGAAGTCAGAACAATTTTCGAAAGGTGATACAAATTCGATGAGTGAATTATTAAGACAGCCTCAATCGAAGAAATGGCATTGAGTAAATGACAGAACACTATGACTTGTATTAAATTGTTTCCACAGGCCAAGCGCTTGATAGTAATGTCATCAATAGAAATAACTTAAAATTATGAAAAATATTATAATGATCTAACGCGCAATGTAAAACCAAATACTGACAAGAGAATGAAAACAAAATATAAAAGATAACAACATCCTGTCTCCTAAATGTTTTGTTTACATTATTAAAATAAGGTTACAAGGACAAATAATCGAGCAGAAATGAACACTCTTCCTACAGAGTATTTTCTGCAAGTCAATTCAAAATTTTGGTAGGGAAAGCAGAGTGGCTATATTTAAAACACTACAAGGACATCTCCCATCATAACCTACAACCACAAAAATCCATCAAAATGTTACGCACCGCACAAAGTCAGCTGCATGAATTTGTCACCTGAACCATCTTTACGCCACGAAGGACTCGTCACAACGTTCAGAGAGCCCTAAAACAACGCACGTCGAACAAAGCGAGCAAAATCAATACCAGACGGGCTGGGCAGGCTGACCCAGGCAGCGGGCCGCCCTAACCTCACAGATGGCTCTCCGCCCATCGATCCGACGGCCAAGCGAAGCGAGGGGCTCAGCCCGTCGGTGGCTGCTCGGTGCTCGGACCAAAAACATACCCGCCAGACTCACTCGCACTGCAATTCAAAAAGCGAAAGCGTCCAAACCTTTGCTTTAAGCAGACGGCCGATCCACCGCTGGGAGTTGTTTATTCGACTGTCAACACGTCCAGAAAAAGCTCGGCATTTTCGCTCCCACCCACTCGAGAGGGCGGGCGATCGGTGCAGGACCTGCTTCACGACAACGCGCACCGGTTTCGAGTCATAAGGACGAAACGAACGAAAAACATAAAAGGGATTTGGGCCGCGAAACGCCTGTCGCAGCGTCGCCTCAGGACCCTCTACTGCTGGCGCGCTGCGCGCTGCTAGCGCTGCGCTGCGGCGGGGCGGGGCGGCGCGGGGGCCCGAGCCGAGCTGCGACAGCCGGTAGCAACTCCCTACGGCTGGGCTGACACACTGTCTCGGCCGCGCCGCTGGGCCGGGGCGGCGCCCGCGCGCGCTGCAGCTCTCTTTTCTATTTGTCATATATCTCCTGTACCAGACCTTCTTTTAACAAAGCGCCTTATGGCGCTAGAAAGAGAAAAGAACGAGGAATCTAATGATATAAATAAAAGTCACTGAATCGAACCGGAAACATTTTAAAATGCGAGTTGAAC